TGCTATTCGCCCGCAGCAGCTTGTCTAAATCGACGTTAACCGTAAGGTCATACAGTTCTTCCAGACATTTATCACTAACAAGAGGAAACCCAGCCGGCAACGGTGGTGGTTTCTTACTGTTTGTGGCTCCTGCGCTTGTGCCCGCGGACGTCGATGGGGAGAGATCGTTGACCTTTTGTGTTAGCTGGGTGAGATGATTCTGCTGGGAGAGCATCAACTGAATAAGCATGGCGGTTTCCGTTGGCTGGGACTGGACGGCCGTTGGAGGCGTGGGAGGACCCGGTAAAAGCTGTACCTCCGGGCTCCTCTGTGCCAGCAGTGACTCCAAATGCTGTCTGGCCGCGGTAACCTGGGCATCGATGCTGACTGTGCTTCCCGTGCTTACCGTGGCGTTGCTGTTAGCAGGAAATTCGCCAGAGTTGAGAATCATCTGCGCCCGTGGACGTCCCCTTGCTGGTCGCTTTGCCGGTGGTTGGGGAGCGTTGGCGTTGGTTCTTCTGCCCCGTCTTCCCGACATTGTGATGTTGAATATCAGATGCACTCGCGATCAATCCCACGCAATGGATGAGATAACTTCTAGTAGTTTAACTCCCAGTAGTTGAAAGGTCACATTCAAGCGCTAACTGTTGCAGAAATTATTCAATCCGACACGCGTGCAAACCGAATGAAATGACAGCCATCACCCAACGCACATGAACAATCTTTTCGCGAAATGCTATCAGGTAAATAGGTTAACTCCCGCTGCCAGTGAAAGGGACGGAGAGGCAATCAGAGGACTGGACAGGCATAACTGGCGATGGACAGGCGAGCGCGGGATCCACTGCAACGACAAAGGGCAGGCAGACGATCCGCTGGTAAACAGGACGATTCCGCATTCCACGGAGATAGAGAGGAGGCAGTCATCAGGTCCGTGCGAAGTCCAAGCAATTGTCCATTAATGCCCTGCATAAACGAGAAATCAGGCTGGCCGGCGTTTCTCTTACCGCGTTAAACAAAGTTAGCGCCCCGGCGCAAACTTCCATTAACAAGCAGAACTGGAATATTGTTTCAATAGAAACAATTAAATTCCCGCTTATTACGCCCTCAAAACTAAAAACAGGACTTTCGACGTACGGGGGCTGAGCATCCACATCAAAAAATAATTTTGACTTGGTGTATCGTAACGGAGCCAGGAGAGTTCCTTTTAGATACAGAACACTTTAACTCGGGCGTCCAATCAGAGATAAGGGGTGGTCACAAAATAACAGTTGTTTGTGGTAGCCGTATTCCTGCTGTTTTGTACTCAGTTCTCATACTGACTGGCCAGCGTAAATGTCGTATTAATTATTCCTATTCGCAATACGTGATAAGTAACATACAACTTCATAATAATCCAAGTAAACTTATCAGTTTATTTGGACGGTTCATGAGATTCGTATGAGTTAAACGGCTATTAGTACTACTCGACACGCACTTTAAAAGAGTTCTGTAAGATACAGAGCCGGAAGTTCTGTAATGTTGCTAAGTACAAACTACTTCGGTAAAATTAGTAAGCGAGTCGGTAAAGTTAATAAGCGAGCCAACACGTAACGCTTTTTGCGATTAGTAAGAAACAGTTATAAACCCACAATCAATTCCTACATATTTATTGGTTTAGTTAACCCCATATATAACACGTCGTACTGTAATACATGCCAAATTTTACTTGGGTGGACTCGATTCTGCTTCACCTCCATAGTGCTAACCGCAGGTTTTTGTCACCTAATTCAATACATGCTGCTGTATAGTAATAACAGCCCTCTGTGTTTCCGAAGGAAAAAGTAATAGATTCGGTGGAAGGACTCTACAAAGTACAAAAGCATTCATTCGTAAAACAGATCACACTGCAAGAGGCCAAGAGCGATCATACTGCAAGAGTGGAAAAAGTGTTCCTCGACTTAGGGATCCATTGCTTCTCCTCCATTTTGGAACCCTGACCATTATCTTCCGGTTCGTTGCCATTGTTCGAATTAAATACGGAACAAACAGGCTTCCGTTAACCAAAACTTTTACATATACAAGTACAATATCCTTGCACATACGCTACACAAACAAACGCAACACAAAAACGTTTGACAAAGCAGTTGCGGACCGAACGCCAGCAGCCTTGTCTGTTACAGTCAGAACTTGGCATACACCAGGGGAAACACAAGGGTCCCGGCAATCTCGACAGCTGCCGCCAGGAGCCATCATCCCGGAGATCACCGATTCTGATAAGCTCTGAGTGCGAATGTGCATAGGTGTTGGTCGCTCCGCCGCACGATCACGGCATCATGCCGTCACGTACAAGGACGCTAATCCGACTCCAACTGGCCATGCTCTAGTACGGAAGTGCGCTTCCTTGCGTCATAAATTGCAAAACAAGATCCGAACGATTTTCGCAGTTGTGGCTTTATCGTTCTCTCGCTGGTCGAGTGTAGAAATTTGGATGAAAGACGAATTAACACTCGTCGGTAAACTTTCAATAAATATCGCGTATTCGATATTGCGTTGAAGTACTCATTCTAACTGAAAAAGATTGTTTTCAAGCAAACCGTTTTTTTTTTACTTTCAGTGATGACAATGCGATGATTTTCTACCTAATTTTGCATTTCCATAAAAAAATTTACATGGAAGAAATTCTGCTAGCGTTTTGACCACCCGAAATTCTGCCGGCAGGATATTCGGCCGGCGTTTTGACCACACAAAAATTCGGTCGGCAGAAAATTCTGCCGGCGTTCTGACACTGGCCTTCTGGAACGGGTTGACGTTACCGGTATCGGATTGACGGCAACGCCACCTACCAGTGAATAGTGATCGTGTAAATGCACATTGGATCACTTCGGTATTATAAAGATCAGAAATTCAAGTACATGTATCTACTATGTAAGATGTTATGTAATAATCGAAAATTCAAATTTGAGAATGCATGATGTGTACGTTACACCATGGTGTTTCTTGAGCCGGGTGGTACAATCTGTACAAACGCAGGACAAATTTAAACTTTTCTCGAATCTCCACGTTCGACAAAAACATATGATTGTGTGATATGCCGGTACGCACTCCTTGTGTGATATGCCGTTTGACAAGCGGTTACTGAAGATCAAGAAAATGTGCAAAATTTCTCAGAATAAAACTTCATAATTCAGATTTTCCATAAGTCTAACAGAAGGCAACTAACCATAAGTCTAACAGATTTTCCTATTGAATATGTAACAGCTTTCGGGATCGCAGTTGCCTTCGTGACCATTCTCGAAGCGGCCAGTAAATATGTGTGTGCAGTTTGTTCACCGTCGGCTCAGGTATGTTTGTACGGTATTAGGTAAATTACCGTAGAGTCATCTTGCAACTTAATTTTATTTTACAGACTTTAAAGCCTTCATGCCGGCATAAAGTAGTAACTTCCCATTTTCTATTGGTTCCCGATTATGGGCGTACGCGGAAATTTAAAATCTTAAACGTGGATAATTCGGATTCGGGAGAGCGAAGAAACGCACGCTGCAAAAAACGAACGCGATGGCTCGGACAATGGACACAACAAATCACACCACACGTCGCTGTCTGTGATTCTGCGGAGGATCAGCCGAATCCAGGAACAACAATATAATCCAGTCGACCACCGCAAGAGCATGAATGTTGCGTGTTAAATTCCTAATCACCGCTGCTTCCGCGCAAAGTGCAAGGGAACCAGGCTGCAATCAAAACGATTCCAATAGCAATAACTGGCAGCCTGGCACTGGCGCTGATATCGTACCTATTCACTTAAGAAGCCAAACGTTGACCGTGATAAACGGAAAACTACTGTTATTACTGTACTGAAAATTTTGCTGAAAATTCACATTTCAAAGTAACAGACACAACACGCAGCACAACAGACAGAAGCACATGTGTCCCACTTTGTCTCCACGCACAGTGCTAAAGCAGTCAAATTGACCACTGGCTTGAGGGCAGTTTAGCACTGCTGTTGAAGCAGGGTCTCCACTGCTCGGCATAACTTCCTCGCCGGCCATCAAGCGCCCGGAACAGCAGGATTCTGCCGGCAAAATCGCTTATTACAACTGCTACAAAACATACGTGATGGAACGCATCAAGTAACACGACGCATTATATTGACATTATCAAATTCAGTTCAGGGCGCACCGGCTGCAAATTCACGGTACATACTCGATCCAGTCCGAGTTGCACCACCCGCTGCCTTACCCCGGTCAGGCATCGCATGTAAGCACTTGAGCACCGCGTGTCAATGCTCTGATATTCCAGTATCTGTGGGGAAGCGCGAAAACCAATTAACACACTTCGTCGATTGCTTCCTCTCGTGGTCGCTTGGATTCCTTTGGAATGCTTCATTTAAATTGTTTTCTTAATCATAATCAGAATTTATGCACAACATTTATGTGAAGTGGGAAACTGCAGTACTGCAGTTCTATTATTTTATGCTCTTTTTTTGTAAGGTGCTCTTTGAAAAAGCACAACAGTCACGATCTGTTCGATTTCTGAAACAGCGGACAATTATTAGCCCAGCGTGTGTGCAAAAGCCGTTTTGACTGACTCTGAACTTTCTTATGCTTTACATATATACAAATAATCCTGATTCTTGAAAACGGTATTTATACATCGTCATACCAACATATATTTGGATATAGGCTGAAAAGGCCTTTTTGGCAAACGCTATTGCCTCTACATTTCACAACAAAACACTATTGTCACTACAGTCCACATCATAGTTTGGCTAAGGGCAGTACAAACGAGTCATTTCACTATTCCCACGTCTATTCCGTAGTTTACCAAATAACTGACGGTAGTTTTTAATTATTCATAAAAAATCTAATGCAATGAGGTGAACAGAACGTGTCGTAATCTACCAAACCGGGCACAACAGCGAAACGATATTATCATTAATTATTAGACCCGTGCGGCTGGCTAGCTATAAAATAAACGAATACTGGTTGCCGCTTAAAAAATTACAACAAGTACTTAGTTTCGCGCGAAGCCAGCGAGTGATTTTGCTGAAAAAATTTCTAGACATTCCATTAAGAATAGTAGAAATAACTGAATCTTTTTTGCAGCTGGCATCTTCGGAAACTGTAGCCTCTTTTCATTCCTCGTCCTCGTAGGATCAGAAATCGTCGGGCTCGGAGGGGCTGGATAAGGAATCGAGTTCTATATAGCTTAGCTCCATGAACGGCTCAGTTCGTGCGTTGTCATGCGCGAATGCCGGGCCCCAGTCCTGTATGTAGCGCCATAACGCGTACAGACACATTCGGTTCAGCTTGGCCACGTCCACGCCGGCCACGTTGTTCAGCGTCCACGGGTGTTTTCGATAATATGCGGACGGACGCGGATCGCCGGATTGGTAGCGTTCCAGAATCTGCCGAATGACCCAGCAGTGTCAACAACACAACGGCAAGACAGCCGTTGCGAGATATTTCTAAGGCAAATATCAGCATGTCGTACCTTTTTGACATTGTTGGCTTTGTGGGACATATCGATCCGACTGGCCAGGCACTGCGCAATGTGCTGCACATCTATCGGAGGCCCTTCATAGCTCAGATGCTGCTCCAGCATGTCCGCAATCTGCGCGTGATCGATCGGCTCCCGGGTGAAGACGGCAGCGGGAATACGGAACTCCATCAAGGGCGCGCGATTTTCGTCCGAAAGTGCGAACACATAACTTTTCAAAATCACGTGATCGCAGCACGACAAAAGCTTGGACAGGTGCGCGAAGACTTCAAAGGAAAGCCGTGTCCATGGATAGTCGTATGCGATCTTCATCGATCGCTGATCCATGATGAGGCGGTCTAGGCGCAAGCCAGCGCCGCCCAAGACCTTCTTAATCAGGCTTACGGATTCATTGGCCACGCGCAGGTTCCATCGATGACGGGAGGGCGGCATGGCCCCGCGAATAGAGACGGTGCGGGTGGCCGGCGTGATGAGCTTGAAGATGCAGGCGTACAGAAAATAGTTCCGATCCCACATCACCGCTGCTGATTCGCTGGGATTCTGCACTGAGACACGCACAACGGAGCGCACATCCAAAGACGACAGCATCGTTTCCCACAGCTGACAGGTGCGGCGGCAGCGCTGCTGATCGATGGTGTCCAGGGAGAGGAAGACCTCCTTCAGCACATTCAGCGACAACGGCAAATCGCCTTCCTCGAGACATAACGGCTTTTCCCGCTTCCGCTCACCATCCCACTCTTCGATTGTCTTGGGCCGTTTTCCACAAAACACACTCCCCCCGAACTCCATTCTCGCAAATTCGAAGTTGGCGGCCTACAGCAAAAGACATTTCTAACAAAAAGTCCAAGGCAAAACGTTGAGTTTACTGTAGCAGCAACTGCTTTACCACATCTTCGTCCCGCAGAGGCCCCTCCGGACGCCGTCGCACCATCAAACAGTGCATCTCCTGGCTGAGAACCTTGACAAACTGCAGATGCAAGTGGAACTGCATTCTGCGTAGCAGCCATGAAGCGACGGACGGCTGGAGAGTCCAGAAACCGTTAGGCACGCTGCACGTCCGCATAACGAAATGGCCCGCTGCAATGGGTTGAGGCTTAACTGCTTCTCCCGCTCGATCGCGAATCTGTTGCCAGGGAAGCAGTTCGCGACGAGACTGTCCATTCACCATCACCTCCACCAGCGCCATATGATACAACTGGTTGAACCTTCGAATCAGCATTTTCCCGCGATACCATTTCCAAGGACGATCCCGGCCCTCGTGCAGCAGCACCTCCACTTCATCTCCCTCGTGCACACGCGTGGATCGATGTGCGGAACAGTCCCAGATCTTCCCGTATTCCACCAGTACCGCCTGTTGTGACGGGCCCCCGAAATCGACAATCAGACGCAGCGGAGTGTTACCGTTCCGTGGCTTCTCTTCCAGGCCGATGACATGGCCATGCTGCAGCTGGCCATCTATTTCCACATCCACAGAATTCCAGTCGTCAACAGAACGTTCCGTATCTTCGTATATGTGCATTCTTAGTTATAAGTTGTATGAATGAAAAAACGATGAAGGATAATCGATTCCGACGTTTCCTAACACCGTCAAACAACTTAGAAAAAGGAGAAAAGGAAGCTAATAATTAGTATTACGAATATTCGAAAGTCAACCACAGGTCCACCAGCATACTGCATACATAGGTACGTACAGCATTATGTAAATACTGCCACTGCCAGGCCGGGCCGTGGCAGCGGTTTATTTTAAAGCTGGTTACAGCTGGTCCACATTATAAGTCTGAAACTATTAACTGGAAGCTTTCAGCTTAAATATTAGTATCTTAATAGTATCTTAATATTATTTACGAAAGTGCTATGCGCCCCAAAATTTTAGTGCGCATAGTTAATTTGCCATGTGCCCAAAAAATTGCAGATAAACATTCTGTATTTCAACTTTTACCGTTTTTGTTTCTTTCTTTTAACGGGAAAATCAATTCTACGTTCGTTTTCTGCTTTTAGAAGTTGTTGTGTTGTTTTTGAGTTGTCCGCGAAATCTGATGCATTTTTTCGTGTATGTGTACAGTACATATGTACCCCGCTGATTTACCAGTTAGATTTACCAGACTTGAACTGGCACATTTCGTATTCAGGCTGTAAAAGTATAAATGGCACACCGTTGACCTCATCCATTTTTCCGGTAAATTTCGTTCTCCGTGAATTTCATCAATTTCTTTCTTTTGCGGTTATCGATATTAAAAGCTTTAAACTGCAACCAGTTTTTCTGTGGTTACCAGAATTTGGGCCGCGCTTCCGAGACGGCTTCCATAATTCCATGCCTCTGTTTCGATTACAGAGGGTGTTTCAGCCGTGTTTACAGTTTTTCGGACATTTATTGTGAGATATGAGAATATCAAATTGGAGAATATGATTTTCTAAAGATAAATAGTTATCAGAACAACAATTACCGGTACATAGTGACATAAAAATGTAAACTTAACTTTGCGTATATCTGTATTTCGGCATAGTTATCATCTAAATTTACAATCAAACGTACTCTGCATCTGGCAGGTTGTTAAAAACAAAATTTGTTTGCTTATTTAGGTTTTCTTCAGCACTGGTTATGTGTTATTTAGTTAGCAATGCGTTATGGCTTCTATGGGTATTGCGAATGCATGCTTCAACATTTTAACGTAGAGCTTGCTTGCATGCCTGATTGAAAAACTATTTGTCGGCTATATCCACCAAAATTAAGAAGTACAAGCACTCCATTAATAAAGTTCGTAAATTCAATCAATATTCACGGACAGTTTTCTTAGTTTATAACAGATTAAATAGGAAATACTGCAGCAGTTTCTTTTGGATTAAAATCTGATTATGCCTGGTCAGTGAGCCATCATAAATAGTTGTATTGTAATGTTCTGTATTAAAGTGCCGTTATGCATTGCACGAGTACAGGCAACTGAGGCAAGTACATTGTTTTTTTGCAATAGTTGCCTGGGTCAGTACCACTTTTACAGCAACATTACGGATTCGCTGATACCATGTTTTAACGTTCTACAACGTTTTGAATTACTGGCTTTTCTATTTTGACCGGAAATTTTGGGGCGCATAGCAAATTAACTATGCGCCCTAAAATTTTAGGGCGCATAGAAGTGACCTATTATTTAATAATTAAAATCACATAATTTCCGTTAGATTTCTTGTTTAAATATTACGTGCAGACGCGTTCGCGGGTGATGAATGTGGCAAGGTTAAATCATTATCGTTTAGATAACGTAATTGATGAGTTTTGCCTTGATAGTTTGAAAGTGCAGTGAAATGAAACATTGACAGTAATCAGTTGTGTTTGCTGCATTATTTAAAGTTTCGTTGCAGCCATCACGACAAGCAAATGGCATCGTTTGGAAGGCGCCGGTGGTGCTCCGAAGGAATCCGAATCATCCAAAGCCATTCCGGCGAAAGAACTGGACAAGGAAGTCCGAGAAAAACTGACAGAAATTTGAGGTACGACCGGAAATTATGTTGTTATTCCTGTTTACATGCATGCTGCCGTTTAATTTATCAGTTTATTTTTGCTCAATTTTTTACTCACGTTAGCGGTTAGCATTTTAATGTTTATCGGTTTTCTAATCACGTTAGCATGCAACCACCCAATCTGTTGTCCCTAATGGTGACTATTTAGCCCTTGTTTTGCGCCATAAATAAATTAATAGGTAAATCGGATTGTTTTCTGCAGTGTTCTGAATGTTAGCTGTTCTCCATTAATTTTCTGATTATTTGACAGATGCGCGTGATGACTTATCAGGACGAGCTGGAGAGCGGCAAACGAAAGCGCACCGTCGGCGAGTGGATGAGCAGCCAGGTGGAGGAGTAGCGCAAGTCCCTGATGAGCAGCGGCTCGGCCGGGAATTAAAAGGACACCAGCAGCAACAATCGGCACCGTGAGGAACACACCTCCCGCTGGTGATCCCCGCCACCAAGGTCGTCGGGAAGTCGCACACCCCACCGCAAGCACGGCAGCGCCACCGCGGCTAGCGCATCCAGCCGGGATCGGAGGGATTCGCCGGGCGCCGAGCGGCGGAGTCGGTCCCGCGACCGCGACCGGCGGCATTGCTGAGAGTGGATTGGTGGATGGAGGGAGTTGTTTTCTTTGGATTATGACGATATTCTTCATTTTGTGTGGAACTATTTGCTGTGTGCCGCAGTCAGCTGAATGTGTTCATGTTACACTGGTAATGCCGTCTTAGTCGTGCATTGTCATTTAGTTTGATCAGTCTGGTGGGAATTTGCAAACCCAAAGTACTGTAGTTTTGGTCTTATAAAAACTGGTAGCCTGTCCGAATCATCTTGGCTTTAGCGGAAAGGTCGGAATTTACGTTAATATCGGAATTTACGGGAGTTAACAGTTGAAAAGGTTAGTTATTCTGGTCGAAACTGAAAAACTGATTTGGCAAACGTTTGGCTTCTGGCAATTGAAAAAATACATTCGAAGCGCTTGCTGAAAATTTGAGGTCGAGTCAGTTTTCATGGTTGTATAAGATCTACAACCATGAAGTGTACAAACTTTCGCCTTACCTGGTTGAACTGATCGACTTCAAGCCTTCAAGGATCTGTCACCGCAGTACAATCTCCGGAAGCCGAAACGAATCCAAGCCATAGCGAAACAGAAAATCGGAGAAAGCACGCTGGCCATGCGGTTAAAGAACGCTTTTGAACGGATTCAAAAGTTAATTCGCAATACTCAAAGTTAGCTTTTTCAAGTTCGCTCTGAAAACTGTTGATCTGTCTAGATATTCTCTTCTGTAATTTTTTGCTGCATTATTTACCGACCAGAGATTGAAGTCCTGTTAAACGGGTTGTCTGCTCCTGATACATGAATGAATGAATGAATGAGTTAAGATTTAGCGACCACACACTGCGGCTAACCATGCCAGAACTTATGGGCAGTTATTTTTGAAATTGCAAATGTTGTGGTATTTTCTAAAAATTCCATTTGGGAGCTTGGGATTAGCTATAACATATTATTGCAGTTTCAATTTGCAAGTATTGAACCATATGAATACAAAATATCCCTTTAAATTACCGTACCGGCGTACGTAAGAAATAAGGACACTCACAGAGTCACACTGTCACACATAGTCTCACTGGCCAGGACAGAGCTCAGTCTCACAATCAGTATACAGAATGCGCAGAGTTCAAACGCGGACTTACTTACACCGTTTTTTACCCTTGACGTACACACATCGAACGCAAAACCGCGCCCGTTTACACGTCTTGCATGTATGTATGTACGGGCTAAACTCGACCGCATGCGCACAACTGTCATGACACACAGACTGACACCATGCGTGCAGACATTATGGTTCTAAATAGTATCACGACATTTCTGAAGTTAAATGCCATTTAACATGTTTAAAAGCATCAAAACAAGGTGCGCTTGGGTATTGCTATGCAGTATTGTTTCTAGCTGAATTAAATAAAAAGAAGATTGCGATTAACTATACTTCTGGGTATCCAGATCAAAGCGGGAACCCGCCACTTGGTTAAGCAAGTATTCGTAAAATACAGGCGAAAATCAAATACAGGCGAAATAAGTTTATGCGACCAACAAACTCATACTGAATTAACATGATATTAAAAATTAATTTTTGACTTACGATGGAAGGCTGTCCGGCAGTGCTAATCAAGGTGGGGTATTAAGTCAGATTAAGAAATAAAGCACAGAACGGGGTGTACTGTAAACAGCACCAGCAGCTGGGTAGCCAGCGCGCAGGGTTCCCTGCGATACGACGGCAGCTATTCATGACAAGTATACCACAAATTGTTAGAGACAGCTATAAGGATTTGTGAACCTTTTGGCAAGCCGGAATCAATTTGTAATACGCTAGTCAGCTGTAATGGGATCGAAAGTAAAGCAAGCAATAACAGGGCAAAAAGTAATTAGTAAACAGGAGCGCAACTGGCCAAACACTAATCTTGCGCAGTCTAATCTGGATTCCCAGAATGCAGGCATCCCTGTACTATAAATGCACCAGTAATGCCAAAAACATTGCCAGTTTTGACATTTCTGATTTTAAAAACAAACAAGAAGGCAAGAACCAGAAAATCACACAAAGACAAGAAACCTTATCATTTTATTGCTTAAACCGTCGCTGTTAGCTCAAAGTATGGAGAAACGATCACGTGTTTTTAAATTTTGCTATTGGCGGTGGGCAGCCTCGATCTAACTCGAAATGCTGACCCACCAATCAAAATCGCGGAAACGCGAAGTTTGTAAGTACATGGGCGTCGCTTAGACCCATTACAAGGTACGCCCATCTTGGTGACGGTTTTCGTTGACGCCCACCGACAGACATCGAGCAAAAAGCGACTTACATTGAAGCCCAGCCAATTGGGACTTGGTACGCCTACTTCTCGCTTCGATGTAAGTCGCAGATGCTCGATGTAAGTCCGCGTTTTGAATCTGCGCATCCTTTCTACGAGTAGTACAGTCGACGCACGGCGTAACCACATTTGGTGGCCGGTTACGTCAATAAGAACGACAGCGAAGTTTCCGATTTTACAGTGGGAATTCTTAATTTCACACTGAGCTGCGTGTTCATCGAAGGGGCGGAAGGAGCCGACCAACTCACAATCTGACAGTCAGCAAAGACAACCGGTATCGCGTGATCTGAAGGTTTAACACTCTTTCAGTATCTCCTGTTTCCAGATTTCCTAGTTTTTCTGAGGTGAGATTGCTGATGCGTTGATAATATCCAACTAGATATCGTCATTGGTAGAGGTCAATTACATTTGGGTAACTGTTGCGCGTCGGGTAATGGAGCGACGCGTAAAAAATTAGCCATGACTCAGCAGAAAAACAATCGTCCAATCGTGAGTCGAGTACGCTTCCGTGCGAAGAAAGAAATTGAACACCGAAGTGGAACTGAAAAACTCATTTTTAATGCTGTAATGTAGTAAATGTGGTATTACGTCAAAAAAGTTAATTATGAGTTTTGGATTATGACTCTCGGTCGTTGGATTTACTTTTGGTCCAAACACACAAAATTTTGTAGATCTGTGCAGGAGAGTTACGAGTTACTCGTAGTTTGTAATGGTTGCGCTTCGACGTCGAAGCGCAACGCTTACGCGGACAAGTAAGCTGAAAACCCATCCCAGATTTTGTGACAGCGAATCAGAATGTTTGCTTGGTTACGCGCTGCTACGTCACATTTTTTACGCGTTTTCCCGTTACCCGACGCGCAACGCTTACCCAAATGTAATTGACCTCCACCATTATCGTGTAAGAACCGTGCTGTTACTTGTTGCACTGCTGGCGTGCTCGTGGTCCTGTGTGTGCAGTTCTGGATGCTGTCTGGTAGAATCGTACTGTAGATTCTACTGTTTTCTATCTAAAAACGAGCTTATCATTCACGATCGAGGCCAGTGCATCGAGAAGGGACGTTTATTGATGATGTTGGATTTTCTTCACTATCTGGCCCGAGTCCGCCCAGGGATCTCCCTACGGCGCTGTATCTGGTCGGCGTAACGAGGTTTGCGGAATCCATCCGCATTGCCGGTTATTTCTGCGAGGTGCACAGGCTCTTCGACTGGAGTGTCTCCGACTCGGTTCCCCCGCCACCTCCATACTTTGATCGCCCGTCGCGATCTGACGTGTGCTGTCATCCATCTGGTGCGGTGCCGTGTTCGCCTGGACTACGATCTAAAGGAACTGCTGTGGAGTCGAGGCGATCGTCGGTTGTACATGCAGTTGGATGTTGACTTGGTCAATGCGCGTCTGCCGCTGACATGTGAGCGGCGTGTGGCGTCCACGGCGTGTGATGCGCTGGAGGCGACGACAAGATGCGCTTGGTGTCGGAGTGGTTGACGACGGGCGCGAATCAGGAGCTGTATCGCAAGACAGTCTGCAGAGTAAGCGAATCTGTTGAATGTTCTGAAATGAAAATTATCCGTAAATCATTAGAAAACTAATGATTTATTCATGATTTATTGATGATTTATTCATGTCTTATTTATTCAAGCGCTTTTCTTTTCTCGGATAGCTGTTATGCACGATACAGACTGCGGATCAGCGTCCGTCCTCGCATTACCACGACAAAGAAGTGGTGCACGGAAGGACTACAGGATCTGCGCTTGGAGAAACTCTGCGCCACCCCCTATCTACGCACAATCCCGCATTGCGCTGCGCTTTTTGCTGGCTCTGCGCCGTGACCTCTGAGGATCCGGTGTGTGGTCGTACTGATTGATATCTCGCAGTAAATAATTTGTTAATGGAGTGCAGACGTTAGTGTTTGTCTTGTGGGTTTTTCGAGTTTGCTCCGGTTTTATCACCTCAAGACCAGACAAGTATAGGTACTTCTTCCATCTTCGAAACTGTTTTAATTCCTGCGATCCTGTGGATCCGTAGGAATGCGTCTGCTTATTTCCATTGTGGCGTCGGTGATTGATTGCATCATTGTGGGTAGGCAGCCGGTGCCACAGTTCCTTAATCCATCGTCAGCCATGTTTGTGGTGCGGACAGCGGAACCGTGACATTGACGCTGTGGGCGACAACAACACTCTGCTGTGACCGCGTGGTGGACGTGGCCGACAACATACAGGACATGTGGCGCTGCGATGTGGAACGCGGTCGAGGCGGCGCTGTCGGCATCCAGCAAGGAAATCGACAAAGTAAGTCGAAAAAAATAGATTCTGATTTTCGATGCTTTTCTTGTGTGATTTTTGGCCCTTTACTCAGTTTTCTGTATGCTCACGTAAATGTCTACATCACGACACATTACATGCAGTTCAGCGGCAGCTTTGATTGTTGGCCATTTTGAAATTCCAAAATGTTTGCGCTACTTATCAGCTTTTTGTGGGAATAGTAAGTACAATAAATTTTTCGATGGTTTTTGAAGATGGGAAATTTGAAAAAAATTACTGTTTTTAAAGTCAGTCAAAAATTTATTTCAAAAATTTCGCTGAAATTTCAACATTTTGCTACCGTGCTGTGATTTGCACTACTATGGGAATTGTTAGAGATTCAGAAACTGTTGGGCCGGTTTCCGTCTGGTCGCATGATGATCTGCGCGATCAAGTCCATCGCCAAGGACCCCGCGAAATCCGCCACACCCCCGAGCGCATCGCCGTCCATCTGACGCTCAGTCCGCGCGACATCCTCACCGCATAAGCCAGCATATCTTCAACGGCACCGTCATCCCCGCCGCCGTCGCCATTGCGGAGGTGGATGTCGGACGGGAGGCGCAATTCCATCCGCGCTTTTTACCCCGAGTGCGAACGGGATTGTGGAGGAGGAGCGGAATGCCCCGGTGATGGAGGCCGGACAGTTGGTGGTGTGCTGCTGAGAAGCGGGCGGGTGGAGCAGAACAGCACGGTGCGGGCGCTACAGCTGCAGCGCGTGTGACGGCGGTGGAGTTTGCTGAGGATGACGTCAGCCCGGCTCATCTGCTGCCAGGGGCCGTTGTAGACGTGGTGGTGGAGAAAGTTAGACGGGTGTGCGGGTGGCGCGTAGATCTGTTCAAGTGAATATGTGTCAGTTCTGTTAATGTGGACGGTTCGGTTTGTTAATTGTGAAACTTTTTAATTTTTTGTCATCATACAATACGTTATACGTGCAGTACTACTGTCGGTCAGCATCGTGGTACTTGTATATACTGCGATGGAGCGTAAATAAGCGGCACTTCCTGCACAAAGTTTGCATGGTGTATGATCAGTAACTTGAGTTTATGTATAGTGTAAGAATGTTTATTGTTTAATAGTTGAGAACATTAATTTGTTCGATTAACGTTTTAACCGGCAATACAAATGGCTTCGTTTCCCGTTTTCATTTGATCGGTCCCTTCGATTTCCTGGAGAATCACAACGAAAAGGAGAAAACGGCCGCCCGCGTCCTCTACAGGGATCCAGTGAGTTAACAGACCGCTTTCTCGCTGAAAACATCGTTGTGGAACGCACAGACGGCGATCTATACGAAGGTGTCGTCATACCGGCAGCCACGGTACTAGCCGCAGTGGAAAATGTGGGCGTGTACTGCACCCTCACCGAGACCCGAGTGGCGTCCGCGGCCAGAATCTGGGCATTCCATCGACCGACCGCGTCCAGATGCGCTTCACAACCGGCTTGAAGCCTCCGTGCGTGGTGGTAGGCTGCAGTGATCTGGATGAGATTGGTCTGGTCGGTTTCAAGCATTCCCTGAACAGCCAGCCGCTCCTGTCGTATCACGACGTCAGTTCGTCAACGGGGGACACGTCCTGGAGTGTAAAGTGCGCGGACTGGTGCCGGGTGGGGTTGTGGGGGTGATAGGCGTTCCCATATATGGTGACTGGTGAGTAATAGAACCGGATAATAAACTTTTGCAAATTAAAACAGTCTGCAGCGCGCTGTTTATAGAAAGTATACGTCTCAGACTATATTGCAGCGAACTTTTCAGCTTTCTGTTAGATGGTTCTAAACTTGTGACAATAACGTGTATGTCGTAGAACGATGACGCCGAAAATCAGTTGCCCGGAGTTTGCGCGGTCATCAGTGTTATAAATTGTATTGTGCTTGCTATTTATTTTTTTAAAATTCATATGTTGTATTGCAAGTGTTTCATGTCGTACACTGACTCTACAGACGCAAGAGTAAGTGGTTTAATTGCCTCAGAAAATAATCGAAACTGGTGTCTGCGTCATGTACGGAAGCTTTGCTAGTTTTTTAAATTTATTAAAAATTGAAAATTAATGTTTCGCGGCGTTTGAGATTTCGAAACGGTTGACCTGAAATGGGCACACTTGAGATGGAAACAATAATGTGCCGTGTGGAGGTGATTTTTCATAATTTTACAGGATTTGCTCCGACTGGTCTAGTCCCGCTGAAGCAGTGGGAGAAGAATTTCCGCGACAACATGCAGCTGACTTGTCGCGGGACAGAGGTGGATCCGGAGCGGCGCAGTTGAGTGTTGACACATCAGAATAGTCTTCTGGACGCTAAGGAACCAGTGCTGCAGTCCTACCAGGACGCGGATACGGGGAATGCGTTCCAGGGAGCGACTGGAAAGATCCGGGACAGCCTGATGCTGATCCGCTTCCTCCAGTGGGTGCCGGGATGGATGCCGGCTACCGAATTTGTGGAGGTATCAGTTTGGAGAATTTGTATTATGAAGGACAGACGATGCGGTGTAAATTACTGCGCTGCGATAAAAAGACCAATAATCTGCAGTTGTCGCTGAGGCTGATTAAAGCGGATGCGGTGGCCAAAATGCCGGTAAATTCAGTTAGGTTTGTGATTGAAATTTTAGGCTGATTGATTATAGAAAGTGATTTACGGTTTCGTGAGTAATCGGTGCACACAACATGTCTGACAAAACAGTTATTTTGCTGCCGGAAATTTAAATCGAACATTCTGCTGTTTTACGCTTTGGTTTCTTAACGTTTCTTCTTCGTGCATAGCCGGTTTTGATTAATGTGCGTACACTTTTCCCCGGTGTGCATTCAACTGCTACGTGCCCGTAGGAGAAGATTTCTTTAGCGGTAATGGAGGAAGTTGAGTTTGCTAGGTGTAAATTGTATATATTGACACAAATTTCCGCCGGAGAGGATAGAATGTGAGAATCAACAATGTTGTTATGGGCCGCCGTCAGCGTGGTGTGTGTTTCCGTGTATGGCCAGTGGGAGTCAGTAGTAACGGCGTGTTGTCTGTTTGACAGTGGGAGGCATAATTACCGTAGATTTCGTCAGCGGATGGGTGCATCGGGCCGCCCATTCCTGGGTGTTCAGTGATGTGCCCGTCATCGGCAAGGTTAGCATTATTCTGTTAAAAGCATGCCTAATTCGTCAGCGCAGTTCTCTTTTCTTCAATCTTTCTCATGCTTTCCATTTCACCTGACCCCCGGGTGCTGCTGGGCTGCAGTATCCGGTAAGAGCTGCATGTCGCTTTTAAAGAATCAACGGAATCTGCCTTTTCAGTGATAATAAATCGAACTGCTGCAGTTTTTCCCAAACATTTTTGGTGCGCCAAGATTTTAATTATATTCGTTACGACTTTATTACCTCTAAATTCTCTAATCAACAGTTTTTATTTATACAGTAGCTGTGCATGTATCATTGAAAAGCTTTATGATTCCAAAATCTAATGATCCAAATATAACTGGCGTGAAAAATAGAAACAATGTTTCTCTGTGCAATGTTGTACAGAATCTACAGATTATCAAGTGTCGTTTTTACCGGGTAGTGCACAAACTTTTGGTCGAACGTTCGCCAGTATCGTCGTGATGAGCGTTAATACTGTATTCCCAAGGCACAGAGCACAGAGCAGTAACTTTTTATTTGGGCTAGCTGGCAGTGAAAGCACTCAAAGCAGTGGTTGCCTTCCGGTGTCATCCATGTCATCATACGGATGCCGGCAACCCAGAGCCCAGAGTACGCATCCAAGAAGGGCCTGAACGCAGTCCAGCATCAAGGTGGATCTGCCGGTCCTCGGACGCGCAGTTCCATTTTTGACGTGAATGATCGGTGGACAGCGCTGCCTGTGTATTGCCGTGGAGGAATGACAGCACACAGAATATCTGCGTCAGGGATCACGAGGTGCCCGTCACCAGGGATATGTCATTAACTACTGCTGTCACCACATTGCCCGAAACTGCAACTGAAGCATTATCAACCACGTGCAGCACTGAATCCACAACGCACACCAGTTCAGCTAGTACTGCGGAGTTGGGAACCGAAACTGTAATTACCGACATTACCACGAGTACTGCAACCTATATCCGATACAACTACCGTTTTTTCTCAGAATTGCTGATAAATATATTTTGTTGTTAGTAAAAGTCAAAAGATATGGTAGCTTTATGAGTGTTTTCTCATTTGGTTACAGTACCAATTATCTGTACGTTCGCTGCTGTCCAGCCTTTTTGGATGGCATTATTCTCGTTTTCTCGTTAGTTTATCGGAAAATATTTTCTGAAAATTAACCGTGAAAAATTATGCGTTTTTCTGCTTTGAATTTTTATTAAAGAATTATGCACAATTCTGATTTAAATTTTTAGTTAAATGTTGTGCTGTATTTGATCACAAGGTCCACGCATTTCTACTTCTCCCATGACATTTAACATTAATTGAAAACCATTTGAAGACGTAATGCACCGGTGCAGATCGTAGTCGAATGATGAAAATGGCATGATATGGATAGTATGCTGGGTGATTGTTGCAGGCACGGATGTGAGCACGACATCGACCCGACATCCATCACCGGACACGACTGCATCGAGACCAACGAAACCACTTCGCTGCCTCCGCGCTTGTCCTTTCCTTCATGGCCTACCGGTGCGCGGTGGCCAGCGAAAGCCAGCTGGTCAGCGACTACGCCGACTACTGCTGCTTCTGGCTGGTCCTCCTCGTCTCCGTCACCCACCAGGTTAGCACCCATCCATCATCATAACTTTTTAACAAATAACCAGCAATAACCGACAGTACATTGCCATTTCCGGGCTTTTCGTAGAACGTCCCTCTGGTTTCATTTTTTTCTCCACTGTTTTTCTTCTCGCCTCATGGTATTGTTGTTAGACGATATTGGGAAGGGTGCCTTAAAAATTTTGTTAAGGATTTACATATTTTTACAAACTTTCCTGATTTTTGTAATTTCTTCGTGTTTATTAACGTTAGTCATTTTTGGTTTCTCATAATTACAGGAATTCAGTTTTGGTTTTTTCTATTAAATTAATACCGCGTTTGACGACGGCGGGAAGGGAACGTTTCGTGGTTTCTTTTCACAGTTCGGCCGTTGCCCGGCAGCGATATTCGAAGTGTCTTGTTGTTTCCTTGTATCCTTTAGCTTCCCTGTATCCTTTTAACCTGACCACCTTTACCGATGGGATCACCGCCATACAGGTAGCAATGACGAAGCTTTTGACAGTCACGGAGAGCGACGTCCGGCATTTGTCGACCACAGCGCCGGGGGGTGGGGTCGGTTCGTCTGCGTGGACGGCAGCTGTGCCGCTTATGCAGGTATTCAGCCACTTTCCATCGTGGTCGTGCCTTTAAGAATGGCAACCAGCCGTCCGGCGCAGTGGCGCCTGTGCTGTACTCAACGTACGTACTACGCATCGTTGCTACGAGGTACAGGACGCCCGTTCAGTACACCACAGCGGTCGCCCTGTCGTGGACGGAAACGTGACAGCGCGAAACCGCTGCAGCGGCGATGTCCTTCCGGCATGCAGCAACACCCAGGACCGCATACGACGGAGCTGTCGAGGCCCTTATTCAACTGCTGCAACTCAGCTAGAATAGCAACGAGCTGCTCGCTCCCGCAGAAATCAGCACGATGACCTTGGACATGCCGAAACTGTCCTCCGCGTCGCAGGCTAATCGGGCGAGCGTCAGGACATTCCCACAGTAATGCCCACGGGCGTGCTTCTGATGCTGTATATCGTGGCCCGGACAGCATGAACGACCATGCCGCTTCCAAATGCACACTGCACATGACATTTCCGAGCGACTGCGAGCGAGCGCCAGTTCACGGTTCAAGGTCAGCGCGTTTCCAACGGAAACGTCCTGGCACTTACTAGTGAAATAGCCTCGTATATGCCCTTGACCACGCGCTAATCAAACGATCAGCGTTCAACGAAGCGTACTCACTTGGTCCCGTCCGGCCAGAGTGAAAAACTATGCCGCTAACCGATGCCCGCACTGGAAA